TACTGGGTTTGCCATTGCCATTGACGTGGCCGCTCAATTCTCCAGAGGCACGTTTAGGGTCGAAAAGCACCGCCAGACCAGAGATGACCAGTCGCAACTGGGTTAGCTGACGAGAAACCTCGTCTGACCATTCCTTGTTCTTTCCTTTTCGGCTCACTGGGGGGTTATCGCTCATGAAAGACTCGAGTCGGCGCATGGCCCCTTCGGCCTGGGACTCGAACAACTCTACTGCGAATTGAATCTCTTCCTGTAGCGGTCGGTGCCATCGAATCGTCAGATCCGCGGGTGATGTAGGTTGTCCCCAATCACCAACGTCCAGGCCACGTTCTATAGCGGAAGGCTCATATAGAGAGGTGTCTATTGGGTAGGTGTGCGTGAGGTTGAGTAATAAGTGATGTATGTAGTTGCTGATGTGGATGGTGGGAAGGCCTCTACATTTTTCTTGCATGTATTCAGCAATTTCGAAGAGATCTTTCTTATACTTCAGAACCTCGCTACCGACATGGACAACGCACATGCTGAGTATGCTGACATGCCAGACAAGGGCCCTGTCTCGGGGAAGAACTTCGGTGCCGCTACTGCGATCAGATGCAGCACCATTGTAGTCAATTTCGTTGCGAATGTTTACAATCAACATCGGAATGAACACCTTTAGCGTCTTCTCGGGGTTTACTTTGCAGAGCGCATTGCAAGTCCAGGCCATAGCATCACGGGCCTGGTGGACGACGTGGCTCGAGACAAAGGTTGATAGCTTCTCCAAAGCCATATCGAATAGCTCCGGCGATAGGGACGCAAACATTGGAGTCAAGGCTGAAGGCAATGTATTGATGATGTTGTCCTCGGGGGACCCAGATCGGACCTGGGACGAATCCGGGAGATTCTCTAGCAATGTGAAGACTTTTCCTAGAAGCGCGAGAATGAATTCACCGAATCCCGCCGTGGACGAACGAACTATGTCTGCCTCATCTTCGTCGGTCAATTCGTTCTTGTAGTCGATCTTGACGTCTTGGCCTTCGCGCTCCATACGCTCCATCTCTCCTTGGACCCATTGCATGGCAAGAGTTGTATCATGAACTTTGTCGCTGTCCTTCGTCAAGGTCACGAATGGAATACTATAGGCAACGGTCTGGATGAAATTCAATGTGTACTGCGTTTTGTTTAGATCATTAGCATCGATACCAGGTAAAGCTAATGCTAATAGAGCAGTGATGTGACATCTAAAGCCTTTCTGTCGAGACATGATATTGGCGATCACGTTTAGTCCACAGAGACTGGAGGTAGTCCGATGCACCTCGACCAAGCCCTGTAAACTTGGATAGAACCTCTGGAGCGCACCAGGGAGCATCAAGTCAGGCTCGAGATAGGCAAGATTCTGAAGGGCATTGAAGTACAAGCTGGTAATACTCGAACTTTTACCGAAAAGCCCCATAAACGTGACTTCCCGTAGACTCAAGACGAAACGGCGCTTTAGAGCATCGTTGATCTTCCTCTCGACGGGAGTATCCTGCTCTTCAGTCTGTTCCCTATTCCAACGAGACACAAATAGCTCCGTTAAGTAATAGGTCAGTTGCGCTAGCATTTTCGTCCATGAGCCTTGGTTGGATGGATGAAAGAAGGTATCAACCGACTCCATCAAACCCTCGAGACTATTCAAGATCGAGGTGTCTTTATCGAGACATAGCGGTGATAACGATGATGTGATCCAGCGGGCAATGATATATGATATCGGGTGCTTCTTCTTATCCTTCTCGAGGAAGATAGCCATACCAGCAGAATAATCGAGTGACGTGTATGGCGAATTCGCCTGCCCAACAGGGATATCAGTTAAACGAAGGATAGATGTGAATATCAAGTCAGACTGCTCCCGCGTGAAGACACCATGCTCGCTGAAGGGAACATGGCGGCAAGACAAGTAGTCTCTAGCTATTCTTGAGAATATGTCGATGAAAGCATTGTCCACAACCTTGGAGCGAGTCATCAACGACCAAAGATGGAAGAATGTAGGTACGAAGTCGGACGGTTGCGACTGCGACTCGGTTGGAGGGGCTGGAGTGGTAGGCATCAAGACATTCAAGACACCGACTACAATATAGGCATTTTGAATATCCGAGGTACTGAAATACGGCAGGACCTCCTCCAGTATAGCACGTCGCTCCTTGGGGTCGAAATATAATTGCGAATACAAACATAGTTTTCGGAGGTGCTTGACGCCTCGTCTCCTGGATGAATGATGCGCAGCCGCCTCTCCGGGGAGTACCAAAGCTTTTAATTCTTTCCAAAGCGGCCTCCAGTCGAGAATCAGGTCGTCCTCAGGTTTGAGAGCTTGCTTCCTTCTTATCAAGGATACCACCATTTTGGAAAACCGATCAGCAACGCTATTATCCAGGCCGGGCGCTAGGGAGAGATGGAAATATAATTGCACCAGTCTAGCACGCAGCTCACGCGGCATGTCAAACTTGAGTGACAACCATCCCTGAAGCTGCCTCGTCCAGTGCAGAGCACCGGGCGAGAAATCCTCGGCCTTGATGGCTATGTAAAGCTGCTTCAGTATTCCTTGCAAGGCGGCATCTCGCTTGGCTTCGTCTTCGACGGCGTAGGGGAGTTGTTCAAAGTATGCGAAGGTTCGCGGTCGGTATCGCTTGGTATTTTCGACATCGAGGCTCGAGGAGGGCGGCAAACCGGGCGAGGTGGCGCGCGAGATGGTATCGCCTACGTTATACGTGCCAAGAAGATGCGAAGATAATGCCTCGGCAATCGATGCATGTTCGAGGCCCTCGTCCATGACGGAAACGAGGGCGAGGGCGGCGGTGGAAAGAAAGAGAGGAATCGAATCACCGGCTGTTGTCTTCTCTTGCAATATTGAATAGGACAACCTTTAAACTGATGATTAATTGTGGTGGTACAAGTCCTGCTTCGAATTGATCCCTCCGTAACTTCGAGACTGGTTCTAGCCTTTGGTTTCTCATACAGACAAGCTAATGGTGGCGACCGATAACGATATGAAGTTGTAGTTGTTGGTGGCGTCGGGGTTGGTCTCGTGCGGCAGCGAGGAGGGCGCACGCTGACATGTCGCAGCTTTCGGAGCTTCTATACCTAAGCTGGCCACTCAGGTTCTCGAAAGGGCGAAAGGCGAAAGGGCGAAAGATCTACTCGTCGAGTTGTGGTTAGTACGGACTGGGTTCTAGGTTAGGTATCGTCTCCCGAGCTTCGCTCGTTGTTTGATCCTCGACGTAGATATGGAATTGCACCGCGATCCCAGAATAAAGATACTTTACCTTGCAGGGGCAAAAGTCAAAAGGTCTACTCAACGTTCAATAAGGATATTGTAAAGACGTTGGACAAGACCGGGATGGGGAAAGATGTAGGTTCGATGTTGGCCGGGTGGGGTAGCTTCTGATTAATGGGACCAGTCGGTGCCTTTTGTTATAAGGTGGGCCTAAGGCAGTCGAGGAGGTACGTAATTTAGGTCACCTACATGCGCATACGATCGCTATAACAGCTAAGCTGGTGGTACCGTGACTACCTCCCACTGCAAATATAGGCATCTATAGGCACGTAGCCCAGTGTAGTTGTAGGCGTTCTTCAGCAGTGATTGGGTAACATTTACTAGGTACCTACCTGGTAAGGAGGATTCGATGTAGCACCAACACATACAAGAGAAACTGTTGAGCCATTGTCTTTCTGTTCATCTGTGGATTTTATTTAGTCAATGAATTATTGACTGTGCTACCCTCAGTCACTTACTTTTCCTCTGATTGATTCTCAGTATCGGGTCCCAGACCATATCAGATCATGGATTGTGCCAATAACCATTCAGAAGCTATGAATTTATTGGTGACACAACTTGACAACTGACTGTTGGGTAAGACTTTGCTGGTTTACATCATCATCATATCTCTTCCATCTCATGAGTCTAGGTCTCACGACGATCAACCCAGGGCCGTCCAGATTAAAGAACACAGAAGAATGTGGAGGATTGGTAGATACATGTAGTCGTCCGAATCATAGGTAGAGGTAGGAATGTATCTCATAACTCGTACCTACCGGTAGGCTGCTGCACGACGTCATGCACATAGTTAAAGGCGGATATTGCGGACGGGATTTGGAATTGCACCCGATTCGACAGCAAACACTTGGAAGTACTTTAGTAAAATTTTACTAATTATAGTGGCAAGGAAGTTGTCTAGGGTTGTCCAACAGCCGCAGCTAGCCCTATACTGTTTTAGAAACTCCATTTTCTGAATTGGAGGACATACGTTAGGTACATAGTATCGTGGGCCTGGTGCGTGGCTCTATTCTACCTAATCTCGTTATATGCGTGTCATTCAGGTAGTACACCACCCCTGGCGTCGCGGATACATGCGTGAATAATTTGATGTGTAACATTTGATACTTGCTGACCTGGCAGATCAAGATACTCACATGACTTTTCCTCTTCTGACTCAGCAGCTTGGGTGCCTCCTAGGCAGAGCTTGCACGACGTGGATGTCCAAAATAAGTAGGCCGGCTAGGTAGACGAGTCCACGCCAGTCGGTTCCCTATGTGATGAATTACAAATACATGAAGGATTGCAGCAGGAACTCGTACGCTCCTCTGCCTTCTCCGAGACTAGGGATAGCAAGCAAGAAAAATCCTCCCTAGTTACTATGAGGCTTCGGGAATCTACCATACGGCCGATGCAAAACCCTCGCCAGAGCACACTCGATTTCCAATCCATAGCAAACGTCATCGAACCCTGTCTGCAGGATTCCTATATCCATCCACCTACACTCGGAGATTCGAGATCGTGGGTCGCACTGACGAATAGGATGCTTGTGTCAGGAGGCTCAAGAACTATTTTCAGGAGCTCGGATGCTGTAGTGGTACTGGCTTCTGAAAGGGTGACTTCATATAATTACCTAGTCTGAGAGCTTCACTCACTTCGCAATAGATTTACGAGTATCACGGGAAATTCAAAGCAAGAGTTAGTTATGAAAAAGAAAAAGAAGAGATTGGATTTTCAGCGCCAGATGGAATCGAACCATCGTTTGCACAGATGTTGATTTACCATGTGTTGTCTTACCTCTAGACGATAGCGCTCTGTAAGAAGGGATCCAGTATTGTTTGATCTTTCTTGCATAATGGCCATTATATGCCATAATCCCGTTTGCCAGCCCAGACTACCTAATGTTTAGCATCCGGTCCCAGAGAAGCAACAAGTAGAGCAAGGCTTACAAAAGCACTCATCATGAAGTACCTCATCACTCCATTTTCTTGCCTATCCTAGGCAACCCGCACCAGAACATCAATATGACGCCGAGCAGCGCGAGGATGATGGGCTGCAGCACCTGGACGCCCTGGGCCTGCGCGATCAACCCGACGACGAAAGGCAAGACTGCTGCGCCGCTGCTACCGAAGGCCGCCGCAAACCCGATGGCGCCGACGTGGAGATGTCGAGGTAGCAGCTTAGACACCGCGACGATGGCGGCCGGGAACAGAGGGCCGATAAAGAACCCCTGGAGTCCGACGGCGACCGCCGACACGATAAACTGCGGGACAAGCCAGAACAGGAGCTCCAGGCCCATCGTCACGGGGAGGTATATCTACCGACCAATTTAGTACGTGGCTAACTACAATGCTCTAGCAAAGGTAAATGTGAATATGGCTTACCATTATCGCCCGCTTCTCTCCTATTCTCGGGGTTATGAACCCGAGAACGAAACGTCCAATCGTCAATCCAAGCCAGAAGCCGGTAGCCGCCATACCGCTGGCAAAAGCCTCGCCCTGTCTGACTTGAATCATGAACTCGACGATCCACCCGCCGAGGGCGACCTCAATACCCACGTAGCCAAGTAGGAAAAGTGAACAGAGCCACGTAACACGAGCGGCAGGCCTCTTGAACAGCGCTTCCCTGAGGCTACCCTTGGACGAGTCGGAATGCTTCGCCAGAGACTCGCGATATTCGCTCCCGGTAGCCGTCCAGAAACAGGAAACCGACGCAGCGATATCGATCACGGCCATACCAATCATAACGTAGTAGAAAGTGTACCAAGGCAAGTTCCCCTTCGTAATCATCGTCGTAGCCACCAAAGGGCTCAACACGGCACCCACCCCGTACAAGCCGTGCAGGATTCCCAGCAGCTCGTTGGCGCGCGCCATGTTGCCAATCCACGCATTCCAGGCCGCGTCCGCGGCGCCGTTGCCGAATCCGGCCAGCATGAACGCGATGACCAGGACGGGGTACGGCGGGTGCACCGCGATGATGATATACGACAGCGTGTGGAACCCGGAGCAGATGAAGGCAACGCCCCGCTGGCCTAGGTACAGGTGGATGGGGTTGTTCAGGAAGGCGGCCGCCGTGTAGCCCACGAACGGCGTCAGGAATATGAGCGATACGACCGTGTAGTTGAGACCGTAATGCGCTTGGATCTGTATCCGTGTTAGCTTTCCATCGTCTATCCCGTAAGTGGAGAAACCTGTCCGAGTAGGAGTATCGTCGTACATATGGAATGAGGGCCTAGCATAAGAGTTGTCAGCACTCTTCCGTGTTCATTCAGCCTGGAGAAACTTACACCATAAGCAGCGTCATTAGCCCCCATGACGACGAAAGACCAGAAGCAGGCCGCCACGCGTGGGATGTTCTTTCGGGGATAGTTCCAACGTTGCACGATGTCGGTCGATATACTTGGAGGCGGAAGCGGGCTCCTATCTTGGTCCGATGCGTCGATGCCGCTCCCATTCTCCATGCTTGTCTGGCGGGCTGGCTCATGAACCGTAAAGTCGTTGACAGCGACACCCTGCTTGGACTGTGCTGTTGACATGTAAACGGGCTCTAGCTCCATCTCCATGACGGAAGTCGAGGAGCCGCCGTTTTGGTGCAAGCGCATCGCCATTGTGATCAAGTTCCTTGCGCAAGATGTGGTTCCTTGAAAGCCCTGCAACGTCGTAGGACTATATAATTGACCTCACAGCTTCTAGGGCGGCCTGCACCGAAAGCCAAATTTCCCTACTACCCAAACAAAGGTTACTCCTCCCTATATACCTCCAACAACCAACGATGTAAAGTTCCCGTTACGCGATCCAACATCATCGTATAAGCAAGCAAAGCAATGGCGGAGTATGGCGGAGTATCTCTCCTTGTTCGCTCTAGTACTAACAGGAGCCAAGCCGGGGAGCCGGTAAAACGTCGGGTTCTCCACATGATTCTGCCATCGTGAAACTTAACGATTGGAGTAGCTCCCGAAAAGGGGATCTCCGCCCGCATCTCTTGAGTAGTTCCCACGCCGATCTGACCGGCATCGGCATGCGAGAACCATGTCTGAGCTTCGGCCCGTGCATCCCTTTCCCCTCTCCGTGTGAGGAATAGCTATGCTACGGATCTTTGAAGCCGATGTGCGTAAGGCGAATTACGTACAGGTAATGGTAATACTAGGGAAGATGGACGATGATTAGTTAAGATGGCCTCGACCCTAAACGTTTGCCATAGTTGTTTCGCTCACTATGCGAATCCTGGACAAATGCAACCCTACCGACCTACCAATATGCACCCGCTGTTTCCCGTTTCGGGTTCTAGACCTGGCCACCCTTAACTGTAGCGATGAGGCTCAGGTGTGACTGAAACCCATAGGACAGTTGAGCCGAATGAGCATTTGAAAGTACACCGTGGTACGGAGGTCAGGGCCAGAAGACTTGCGCATGTGCAAAGTACTAGTTACAGTACATGGACTCGACGAGATCTTGGGCCCTAAGTTCTACCACCCGAATAATTATAGAAAATATAGAGTAGCAAAAACAGCAGAAATAACAAGGGGATTAGAAGAAGAGAATATTAGACAATAATGGCAGGAAGAAAATAGAAAACATCATACGAATATGTGGATTGTCTTGCATTGCAGTAGTTGTGGCGATCCTGGGGTATATCATGTGGCAATATGATGGTCGACAGTGCATGGCATCTCAGGCGGTTGGAGCAGTGATGATTACCTAACAAATAGAGCCGTCACGCATTCAGATATGTCAAAGAACTTCATAACGGTGATTTCTTTCATTTGGATATCCATACAAGTTGCTAATCGAAGCGGCATCTTCATTCGACATTCGTACCAAGTGGAATCCTGCCCTCCTTTTCATCTTTCTATATGGGGTATGTGTGAGTGTTTCAATGCCAAGCGAGAGCGAACCCCCTTTTTAAGAAAGCTTTTATTTCCATTCCAAACGCCCTATGACCTTGCAGTCCAGATCCGATTCCAACAAAACAAAGTCACGAGGCTTCTTAGGGATTCCAGTCCGTGAAAAAACTAGATCCAAGCGCTAATCCGAGAGAGATGCGATGAACAAAACGACCCATCCAACTTATTCCATCCAATCCTTACCACAGCCACCCGCCTTTCCGTAACTCCGGTTATGCGAGTAAATGTTACAAGATTCCGTCCGCTTGTGGACAGAGACGTGAAAGCGACAGAGAAGTCTTCAGTCACTAGCACCATCAGCAGAAGCATAGCCGGCAGCCCTACCGCCCCTGGAGTTTTCGAAACCAGTTTGCCATGTTCTTCCACTTCTGGTGCTTAGGCTTCCGGGCTTGCTCGTCCGTCGGAATGCCCCTCGCCGTGATTTGGACCACGGAGTTGCGCTGGAGGCTAGGTTTTTCGCATAGCTCAACGTCGCCGGCCATGTTGAGGAGTATTGAGTCGCTCGGATAGAAGGCCGAAACCACGCGTCGTCCCGAGGGGAATGGAGGCGGAGCTAGTGGTGAAGAACAACTTGGTAGAGGTTCTTCGACCGAAGGTGAAGGTAAAGGTGAGGGCGAGTCGACTACAGCTGCAATCGAATTTTCGGTGTTACGATTCGCTTTGATAAGACCCCAATCGCCACTGAAGGCGCGCCTATTCAGCTTAAATGTTTGTTCGGGACTATCGGGCGTCTGATCACCACTTCCCACCTCCGATGCATTGCGCTTCTGCATGAACGCAGCCCCGGTGGAAGTTGCCCTTCTAGGAATTGCGCCTGGCGCAAACTGATCGCTGGCTCGCGAGGTACCCGGAAGTTTTCGTCGGCTGGCGGTCTCTTGAATGCCAAGTCTCGATACTATTTCTGAGTTGGTACTCAACGATCGGTTGCGAGAAGTTGTGCCTGCATCCGTCGGGGAGGAGGGAGAAGAGGTATAAGGGCCAAGATCTGCCGGCTTGCAATTGGGAGACCAACCATGACGAAGAATGACCCAAATAGCGGATATGGTTATGAAATTCTTCTGCCACTCCTCGACTTGCTGTGTGGATCGTTCAAAGGGGTTCTCCTCACTAGTAAGAGAACCTGGACTAGATAACAAAGGAGACGTAGGAGGGTATCGACCGGCGGATTGAGAAACAGTGGTGTAAGTGTCGAGTATGTCTAAGGAAGAATCTGTCAAGATGGCCATGATGGGATGGCGTCGACAACTAGGATCAATGATGCTAAAGGTAAATTTGTAGTCTGTTGTCGATGGTGTAGGTTGGGTAGGAGAGGTTGTGGTTGGTGTGACCGGTAATGATTTCGTAGCGATTTGCTTACGAACCCATCGAGCTGTAGTAGTATTTCCCTTCGAATCGACCGAGACGAACTCGTAAGAACAAACATTGGTACCGTTGAATCGCGGCGTTGCAACCCAAACTGTTCCGTCAGATAAGACGATCTCGGCTTTATCTTCCGTCCTCAACGGACTTAGGATGGCCAGAAGCTCTCGTGATCTCAGATCGTCTTCGTCACCGTCACTTTCCGGCCCAGACGCTTGTGTCGCATAATCTTCGCTCTTGACCAACATGACATCCTGGATACTCAGGTCCCTCTTGGTATGTGCAATCCGAGGGAAACGTTTTAACAAGGGCGCGATCAAAGACCTAGCTATGGCTGAAGAAGGATATACGTCAATAGCCGGTCTCGGTCGATGGGTAGTGGACAGCTGCTGGAGTTGAAGGAGTAGCGTCGGACGTATATGTATTAGGCGCTGTTTGCTACGCAGTTTTGGCGGCGGGTGAGCGAGTAGGAAGGTTGTACTCTTCCGCGGAGCCCTTCGCCGTGCACGACGGGCGGAAGACGAGGCTCGGCTAGCGTCGCTATCGGAAACA